CCCCCTGGTCGATCACGAGGGTCACAGGGGGATGCTCACTGCATGGGTCCCCTCCCTGGCGCGGGAGACCCTCATGCCGGAGCAGTTGATTCCGGATTGACGTAGGGGGGCCTCACTGATGCCAAAGGATTGCTTACCGACACAGGGGTTCAGTAATTGGCAGATGATTCCAGTTCAGCTCATTCGGCCCCTTACCGAAATGGGGTGGAAGTCCAGAGCTACGTTCAGTCTTGGGCCCATTCCGACACATTGCTCTTTCACCGTCTCATCGTTTATCATTGCCATTTGTCCTATCTCCTTTCATTATCAGCGGGCTGGTCAATTTAAGAGATTCTCTGACATTCAGGGTCACATTCCTGTCCCTACGCAGAAAACGGAACCATTGCTGACTCGGGCCCTTGCCGACATGGGGTCCCCTGTAAGGCGCACTGACCGCCCCCTCCCCTGACCGGTACAGCGGTCCCCCATTGCCTAAGGGATCACGACCAATGCAAAAGATCCTCTGACTGACAATCGTAGGCCCCAAAATGGTTCCCAATTTGGAAGTGGGCTTTAGGCCGCCACGGGAAAGACTGTTCAAAATTAGTGGTCGCGAATCAACTGACTGGCCTTCATTGCCCGCAAGGGCCACCAATCGGCGCAAGGGGCGCACTGATGGACATTCGCGGGCCAGGATCCCTTGATACAGTCTCTGGCAAATTCTTCGGGACCCCTAGTCGGACCCTTGATCGTTGGCCCCGAAGGGCGCTGAGGGCCCGTCTGGACCAAAGTGGAGACGTATGCCCCCAGTGCCCCATGATTAATTTAATAAGCTGATAAGGTCAACATCCCATGTGCCGAATAGGCACGTCTCATCTTTTAGGCCCGGGATAAGCCCACGTCTGGTTAAACTACAAAATGGCACACGTTAGGTCTGGGAAGTGTCATTCTTTCATACCCAGACAAGTCACAGGTCAAGTCCGGAAAGATCATTTTTTGCTCTTAGACCTGGGAACATGGCCGGAAAAGACCTGGGAGGGACGATCCTATTTTAGGCCCATAAGGGGGACGTAGATGAGCCCAAATGATAGGGCCATAATAACCTATCCATTCTGGGCCCCTCCCCGTCCTCATTTTCGGGAGGGGACCGATGTTGGTACACCCACCGCCAGAACACGTCGCTAGCATAGCCAGAGTTTTTCTGTCGCCAATATTTTCAATATTTGATAGAATTTTGAAGCTCTAGAACCGGCTAATGTTGCTGCTTCTGAAACAGTAGCGTGGGCAGAGGAGGGCAATGCACTGGGCTATGTGCCCCCGCTTCGTATCCGAGAGGCCCGGAGGCCCCCTCGGGACCCACGATCAGTCGTCCGACTTGAGGGCCCGAGGGGTTCAAAAGACCATTCGGAGGTCCGGTCACTTCAATGCCTGCCAGAGGGCCCTGTACGGATCAGGGGACCCTGGGTCGGTAACAGGCTATATGTCGGATCAAACACCATCAGAAACGCACAGTCGGTTTTGTGGCGGCATGGGCCTGAGTGCCCATTTCCCGAGCAGGTAAAAAACCGGAGCCAGCGATTTACATTGGTCGCGGCCCCACAGCGCCTAACGGGGACCCTGTGCTGACAAAGGGCTCCAAATCGGTCTGAGGCAATGTTGGAAGAGGCCCAAAGAGCCTGGAGGACCCACCGGGTCCGATGATCGAGAGCTCGATTGGAAGGTCTAAGAGCACGAAGGACTTGTCGGTGTGTTATTTAGGGGTGCCGGCCTGCGGAGACCGGCCCTTGAATGACAGTCAGAGGGCCTTTTGTACCGATCAGGGGCATCCTGAGCCGATATATGTCTATATGTCGGTCAGGCACCACCAGCGTTGCACAGTCCACTCCGTATTGGTATAGGATCGGACCGTGGGAAGTAGGCCTGAGGGCCCACTTCGCAATCAGCTACAAAGCTGGAACCAGTGATTTGCACTGGTTGGTGCACCTGAATCTATCAGTGACACCCAGTACCTAACAGGAGGCCCTATGCACGCAATGGACCCGAAGCGACCAAGGGCAGTGTTTGATAAGGCCCGAAGAGGGACCCGGGCGACCCAACAGAAAAGACTATCAAAGGCCCGGCTGAAGGGCATAATGGCCTGCAAGACCGGCTGTAGGTCACATAAAGAATCGTGGTCCGTAGGGTGATGACTGAAATATCGGTCAGAGGTCCTTTTGTACCGTTAAGGACCCCCTGAGACAACCCGGATGTCTAACTCGGCCAGAGACCGTGAACACCGGACAGATGACTCCCTGTCATTCTGAACCTTGGGGGCCCATTTGCCAAACAGGAGCAAGATCAGGGGCCACGATTGACATTGGTCTGGGTCTTTGAAACGGTGGTTGGGCTCCTTGTCGGCCAGGGGCCCGCAGTGCATGACAAGGGGATGTGTCTCGGTTAGCGGTCCCCAGTCGGTCACGGACTTTATTTGATGAGGTTCGAAGAAGGACCGGAGGACCCCGCGAGACCCAAGATCAACGGACGATTGGACTTGGACCCGGCCCCCACCCGTAGTGTCATGACCCGAAACGTCAGTCAGAGGGCTTCTATTAGGTCCCTCTTGCTAAGGTTCTGTATTCCTATTTTTGGGCCTTGGCACTAAGCCAAACAGCCGGCTTCATTTGGCATGCATGAAATACTAACTGACCGTAAAACCAGGAGCTTTCAACGTCAATTCAAGCAAATGCTAGCTTGTATAGTTATACAAACATATCAGGGTGAGAAATAAGTTGTTGGTAAGATTCGGTTCAAAGGCATTGCTTCCAGATGATTGTCTGCACGCCGGAGTATTATGCATGCGCAATGAATTATTGTAGGGCTTGACTTGCACCAGCGTAAGACGCCATTGCTGTCACCAAACCACGTCTTAATGAGTTTAATGTCGAGTAATCATTCATGACACACAAAGCTTCAAGGGATTTGCAACTAATTACTGACCGTTGCCATGCAACACCTTTTTAAACTACAAATGCTACTAGTATGAGTATGGTCTCTGACATGATTAAAAGACTTGTTTGACATGCAAATAATCTTAGTTGGATACAAAAGGCCTGCTTATGCATACTAGTGAAATTGCATGGAAGCCGTTTTTGTCAGTATTTAGTGTATAGTATAATCTCCTAGAAACATTTTGAACTTTTAAAACTATTCAGTGGTTCAGCTCAACGTGAAAACGGCTTTCGCTCAGGTAATAGATATGCAATCTGCATAGGAGAGCCCACATGCCCATGCATCTAACGTTTTATGTTAACAGAAGTGCAACTGCGTAGTGTACAACACTGTGAAGCCAGCTGTCCGAACTAGCAAGCAGTTCGTTTCTCAAGTGCAGACGCTAAAGGTGTCGTGAGGTCCTGCGCCTCGGAGCCGTTCGATTCGCCGGTCGGGGTCGGGCCGCCCCCGCCCGCCACACGAGGGAGGACGCCTTTTGTGCGCGGCGTGCCGCGGGGTGTGCCGCGATGCGACCGGGGCCGCGTCCCCCTGTCTGCATACCACTGACGCCGACCGCGTTGGATCGCAGCTATTTCTGGCGGGCGAGGGCAGCTTTGCTAGTAGTTTCATTCATTGCGGCTTGGAAGCGCCTGATAACGCACTCGATTTTTGGACGTTGACTAAGATAATGGTATGATAATGCTGCAGCCATAATACATTCGGGCATGACACTAAAACAATAAAAATGATACAAAATATGACACTAATATGACAGCAAAATTCCATCTCTTGGAAAGGCACATCTTCGAGTAAAAAGAGCGTAGAAAGATCTATGCGAAATAGAACGGCAGCTTCCGCAAAGCAAATGCAGAACACGACCAGCCGTACGCAATGCTGATAAGACCTGGCTTGATGAAACCAACTCAGTTTCTGAGGTCCAAAGTCAAACAAGACTGTTAAGTACACCCGTTGTCATAAGTTGCATGCATCCCACGACGTATCCCGCAACACGCACTCTAGGTGCATGCACATTGAGCAGGCTGTTGGCAGTCTGCAAAATATTCGATGCCGGACTGCTCAGTTACAAGCATTCATCGGGCACGGCTAGCGATATCGCGCCCACCTCCAAGGCCCGGCGGCCTTTGCCAAGGGATCAGATCTCACAATGGTGACCAGTCCCCTCTTGACCGCCGCGGCGATTACCCAGCGGGGTGGCGGGGGAGCGGCGGCGGTCGCCAGGCGCCGCCACCGTGAAGAAGTGTGCGTATGGAGAAGGTGGTCTTCTGACTCGTAAATACAACTATTTAACACACCGTCGAAAAACCATCCTACCAGTTCCGACCTCAAAAAAGATCTTAAACTACTTTGGAGGGCTTTGAACACTTTTTCACGGAAAAGCTTAACAATGCCGCAATTTCGGTACTACGAAGCAATTTGGTTCTGACAGGCGGGTGTCTATTCACATTTCGGAGTCGTTAGGCTAGCACTTACAAACGCGGACGCATGCACCCACGCACGCACGCACGCAGGTGCCCGAAATTGACATTGGTCGGGGCCTCTGAATCAGCGAGAGGCGCCTGTGTTAGTCAGAGCCCACAGTGATCAACAGGGGGCGTTTTGGTACATCGCCGTTTTGGAGGTCGCCATCTAGCCGTTGGTCAATTTGGCGTCTTGACTTGCCGACGTGTCGCAATTTTGCGATTCCTCATTTGGCAGACGACGAAAAGATATTCGCCAAATGTGCTTTTACGTTTTGTCCAAGGACCGGGTAAAACCACGTAACGAAGGCAAAGCTATTGAGCTTCTGTGGCATACTAAAGTTAGGTTGTTTGCACGTCTGAATGACTAAGCCTGTTCTCCCGCTGCTCCTTGATCCGCTGTCAACAATTCCCATGAAGTCGCATGTCATCCTACCTTGGCTTCGTCTGTGAGGCTATTGGCGCGGGCCCGGCAGGCACTCTATCGCGGGGGCGGAGGTCACTCTCTATCCGACGGCATCTCACGGGACCTCCGCCCAGCCTGCCATATCTATCGACTTGAGCGACGCGATTGCGACGCGGTTTGCTCGCCAGCACTGTCCTCTCACGCGCTCGATCCGCTCTGCCGGGCGGCGCGCGGGTCAGACGCCCAGCACGCGCTCCACTCGCCGGTGCTACCTCCGCGACAGCAGACCCGAGCGCCAACAGCGCGCAGCAGATCACGAGCGAGGTGAGGACCTGTGTGTGTGTGTGTGCAGTGATCTGGAAGACAGACTCGTTGGTGAGCGTGGCAGATTTTGTGAGGGATGTGTCTGGTGTGTGCCATGAATGCAGCGTAACTCCTATTTTGTGTCATGTACAGCCATCGTCAAGTGGCCGTTGCCGCGTCGCAGGGGAAATCCTTGATGTGAAAATATATGTTAGCCTAGTTTTATGCCATTCTCAGATATCCAGATACCAGTTGACAATTCTGGTAAGTCACCTAAACTTGTCAGCAAAGCCTTTGGTATGGAGGCAATGTCGATATTTCATTTCGGCGAGTGACCAATACGCTGAAAATTAACGACACCATTAAGCTGACACAAGGCCGTAATAGCTGACAGCTCGGTTATAATGCATATTGACCGTCAAGCCTCGCTCAACTCGGGCTGGCGACGTTCTAATCCTGCATGGCATGAACAGGTGATCAAGCCTGCAATCTGAGCTAACGCTTACCTGCTATGGACCGCTGGAGAGGCAAAGTCGCGCTGGTAACTGGTGCCAGCGCCGGCATCGGTGCTGCCATCTGTCGAGAGCTTGTGCATCACGGAATGACGGTGGTTGGATGCGCCAGGAATCACAAACGAATCGAGGTAGGTCATACCTGGAAACACTACACATAGCTTAGAATGGACCATCGAGTGAAACTCTACTTTTTGTACCTTTTCTGCTAACGACTTATTCTGAAAAATTATCCAGAAAATGTTGCGACGTAACATGCACTCAATGAAGAGCTTATATCAGCACCATGAAAACACACTACGACTTATCTTCAGTCAAAGGGTTGAGGCGTCGTGAGTAGACCAAAGCCCACGTAGACAGGTTTATTCCGTCGTTCTGAAGCTCTGCGTGATCTAACGCTGATTTTCAAAGGTATTTTTAAATGCTGAACATTTTAGACAACGTGATGAGGCTCGAAAATTGTGTGATTTTTGATAAAAGCAGGACTGTCTCACCATTGATGGCATCATTTTAATCTGACATTTTCAGGAGCTGGCTGCCGAACTGAAAGGTTCATCTGGTTCCCTGACAGCGATGCACTGTGACCTGACCAAGTCGGACGAGATTGAGGCCATGTTCTGTGCTATCACCAAACAGTTCGGCGGCGTCGACGTCTGCATTAACAACGCCGGCCTCAATTTTACCGGGGGCCTCCTTGATGGCGCCATCGACAAGTGGCGCACTATACTGGACGTCAACGTCTTGGCGCTGGCACACTGTGCTCAGCTGGCTATTAAGGGCATGAAGGATCGTGACGTCACCGAGGGACAGGTGATCAACATCTGCAGCCAGGCCGGACATATGGTGGGCCCATATCCAAACAGCCATTTCTACACGGCGACCAAGTTCGCGGTGACGGCCCTGACCGAGGGGCTCCGCCAGGAGCTGGCGGCCGATGAGACGAACAAAATCAGAGTTGCGGTAAGTCGCGATTTTGTGCGGGAGTCGACCTTGAACCTCGGAACCCGAATTCAAGGACACATTAAACCATCCTAAGGTCTAAAAAGATATCGGTGCTAACGCGACTTGCAAGTGTTTTAGAACTGCTAAACAAGGCTCTAGGCCTTCCAAGCACATTATAACTTATAATTAAAACTATAAATTAGAATTAGAACTTGAGGCCTGCACCAGTGACGCATCCCGCGTCAATCCAGCAGAGTAGGTCGCCATTCCTACCAGGGCTTAGGATTCCGTCCAATGCTAGAAAGTAAGATGAATTAAGGACATTCTCTCGTGCAGTATGTGACCATATTTTGTAACACAACTTTATGTATAACATAAGCTCGAACACAGGACTAGACTAACAGGTTTACGGCAGGATTGGGACAAGGTATTCGTATCCGAAATTGAAAAATTCGGACTGTCGTCCTTCGCGGTTAGCTCAGTTGGTAGTACACTGGACTCAGAATCAGCAGACACTGATTTCAATCCTAGCAATTGAAAGGAGAGAATTCGGATGGGGCGTGCATGGGTAAAAGTCAGAAGCCATGCAATCATCATCAGGATTAAAAAATACATAACGACGGCTAGATAGATAACGGTTAGAAAAATTGTCTACGTGCACCAGACGAGGACGCCAGTCGAAACAATTATTCCATTTTTGAGACGAATGCAGTCTTCGGCACAGTCAAGCTCCGGTGTCAGTAATTCGAACACTTTCCCAAGCATTCTGTCAGTGTGGGGAAACATCGGTCATCATTTTGTCCGTGTAGTTCTATCTGGGCGCGAACACGTTCTGATACCATTCAGTGGTCATACAAATACCGTATTGGAATTGTGGACGGTTGCTCATTTTCCATTAGAATAATGTGCTTTAAAAGCTTGCTTGAAGGTTTCGTTGTCTGTTAAAATGGAATGCTCCACGATTGAGGATATGAAGGAAACATCAGATATGATAAAATCAGCTCATTTCTAATTATTTGCATGCTTTAAAGTGTTATTCCAGGGAAACATTAAAGTCCTCCTACTGGGGTTTTCCGGAATGACTGCTGAACGGTTTCGGTACGATACTGATATTAAGAACCTGAGTTCAAACTCATCTTACACATCTTATACAAGTTAAAGTTTCTGAATTTCACGGCTCATGGTTTAAGACCTTTTTCCTGGGGTTATGTCAATGACATTTTGCTAAAAAACGACAAAAACCTACTTCTTCGCAAGAAAAGCCTTCCACATGTGATTTGCTTTTCCAACGTCAGGTCATTTGAGGTCATTTGACATGCTGCCGAAATATCAACGCATCTATATTCCTGTTCTCTTAGCTTTCTCCCGAGGAATAAGGCTATTACTCCTGTCTTATCCATGTGCATAATGCTCCGCACAAATGCACATAGCAACTTACAGACTGAAACTGAAAGTTGCGCGATTTATGCCTTGATGACACCTATGTTACGATCTAAAAGGTCTTTCCATCCTTATTCTATCGATTGATATTGTTTATTTGGTTGTTGGTATAGCCTGACGGATCATTGCAACGTTCGTTATCATCCATCTGATCTGAGATGACAAATTAAAGGTCACCTGCATTGGTACACACTATTGTCTGTCTGACAGAGTTCTCCCAAGTACGTTTAACTCAGCCTTCCTCTTTGTCGTAGCAAGCTTAGTTATTGAAATGGCAGGGAGGCTCTCTAGAGCGTTAATCCATGCGGCCTGGTTTGACGTAAAGATCTCCATCGATCAAGCACATCCATCTGGTGCAGCTTGTAGTCAGCTTTGCAGTAGCGTTTTCTGCATGGTTCCAGCATGATTGTCTGGTCCGTCTCGGTCCGTCCGAGCTCTGATCCCAGAAACCCATCCATTCAAAGGGTTCGGATCAAATCTGTAAAAAGATTAGCTTCTAGATCTAAAATCTTTCTAGATCCTGGAGGCGCTTCTAAGGTCCTTCACAAAGGTCCAAGGAGGAGAAGGCGAAGGCGAGGGTTAGATATTCTAAGCCATGCAAACGAAATGAAAAGCCATATAAACCAAAAGGTTAGTCCTTTTCAAAGCCCTGTCCATCTGTCACGCTGCACGTTTGAAAAGATCACGAAAGTTTACGCATTGCAAGGGTGCGCTTTGAAACGCTCCCTAATAACATCAGGCATGTTCTTAGGGGAAAACTACCATAAGTTTAGATCTGCAGTTGTATTTCCACGAGTGATGAGGCGAGCCGCCAGGCATGACAGCACACACGGAAACAGCTCGGCCGCACTCTTCATAGGAACTTCCTTTTTTCTAAGGCTCGACCAGGAATAGTTTGCACTGCATTTGCTCATAACACTTTTTCCCCGGCAGGCTTGATAGCCTTTTTATTACCGTTAGTTACTCTACGCCAATGAATGCCATGCAAATTTTCATATCGCACATCGTCATACGTAAATATTCGTATGCACAAAAGAAAACTGTAGCTTTGATCTCCTGTTTATCGCCTTAACATTTGTTACAAAAATCGTATACACAAAGGACGTAAGTTGTTAAGTGCATTTGTGGGAAACGTAATTCACCTAGATAAGACAGTAGCAATAGCCTCATTCCTGAGGGAGAAACAGGAGAATAGAGATATAGATGCGTTGATATTTCGGCAGCATGCCTTTTAAGAAAACAATAGCGTACGCAGGCATAGTAGGCAGAAGTAGGGAGAAATATCAGAAGAAAGCATTTTGCCGAAATATCAAAGCATCTATATCTCCATTCTCCTGTTTTTTTTTCTCTAATAGGAATGAGGCTATTGCTCCTGCCTTATGCCAATGCAAATTTGTTAATCGTGTTTAATCGTGCACACAGTTTTCGTATCTCATTTCCTCGTAACGCATTGCCTCGTATTGTGCACTTTTTCGTTCGCACGTCCTGCTTCGCACAGCTATCCGCGCTGCGGTCCTTAACAGCACGAATAAACGTGATTGCATCTCTTCATATGCATGCTTCCTTGGATCGCATTTGCAGCATCGAGACGCTTTCAGCGCAGTAACGCCGCGGCGCGTGCTTCTTCCAGCAACTATCGCCCGGCCTCGTGAAGACCGAGATCGTCGGCCGGATGCTTAACGACATGGCCCGCGGTGACGTCATCATGGCCGGCGGCATGGACGCCAGCGCCATCGCCAAAACAGTCACCTTTGTCATGTCCCTTCCGCCTGATGTGCAGGTATTGACATCTGAGTACATGACGGGTCTATAGGACTCTAAATGACGTTAATATGCAAAACTAAATGGAGACTCATTTCATTTCCTGAACGCAGAGCTGTCAAAGCCATGTGTACATTGTAGATGGTCCCGACACGTGTTTGGGTCTGAGTTTGAGTCTGGGAAATTCCGTTGGAATGATGCCGCGGCCTTAAGCCGTAGCCTATGTTGAAAGATTCATTGATTGTCCTGATCAAAATGCGCGATCCAGATTAATTTCAGTCATGACAAATCTCTTTTAGCCTACTACTTCAGTGCTACGATGACAGCGGTACAGAAGTAGTAGTTTGGCTTCAAATCGGTGAATCAGAACGAAATATTACTGGTCGAGGTTGTTCTACCATATATCATAATTGTGCGATTCACGCATTGGTGTTTGATTGAACTCAGTCTTGCGGATATGTAAAGGCATAGTGTAAAAGCTGTTGAAGGGCATGATTATAGTGAGCTAGCAAACATTCAAGTTTTCCAGCAAACTGCAAAAGTCGCTGCTTTAAAGCAAGGATGAGTGCAATAGTAAAATGTCTCAAGGAATCTGGTGTCGCCCGTTTAAATCGGATGAGTGCAGCAGTAGAATGTCTCAAGGAATCTGGTGTCGCCCGTTTAAATCGGATGGGCGCACAACATTTAGGCGGCGACTGTGCATCACTTCATTTCATATTCGATTTGAAGGACGTGCCCGTGTAAAAGGCCAACATTGACGGTACTGAGATGCTCTTTTATGCTTTCAGGTTCATGATGTTCTGATGAGGCCGACGTCTCAGAAAAGATAAGCGATCTACTTCGACCGGCATGGACGATGATGATGTCACGCACGTCGATGTTACCAACTGACGCGTCCTTGTGTGAAAATATTCAATCAAAAGGTCTCTTAAATAACGCATTTGTAACTTACGCTCATTCTACCAACCTTTGAATCACGGTAAAAGCACAAGTTAGCATAGAAAACAAATTTGTGGTCACGTTCGCGATTGTGGTATGTAAAAATACACTTGTATTAGTTGGGTTGGCGTAGATTACCCTAAAACCATGCAAATAACAGCGTATTGCCATTGGCGTAGGTGTTTCCCTAGCAACCGTTTTTTTATGAGTTTTGGTCGCCATGACCTTTTGGAGGTCAAACAAAGTGAATGACCTCAAATGAGCACCAGTGAATTTTTCCTTAGGCTTACGACGATTGCATGAGAAGGTCTGGTGGCAGTTTGGACACCGATCTGAAGTTTGACCTTGTTTGACCTTATCTGCCCCGAAGTTTATGACCAAGGAACTCCAATTTTAGCACGACTGAGTTCACATACAGACCACATACTCTGTGAATTTTATGTCTCTAGCTCTCTTGGTTTTGAGGTCTTGAATGGTCAAATTGACAAATTGTCAAATTGTCAAATTTGTTTGTTGTTGTCAAATTGTCAAATTGTCAAACTGATGACCCCCCCCCCCCCTCCACCTGCGCGAAGGGTATTTAACCAGCCAACTGGGCGCGTGATAACCCTTTTTAGTTTCCTAGGAAGCGTGACATCAACATTTGCCAATTTGAGCGAAACCATCAACATGAGGTGAGCAGGCTGGTGGAAGGATTACTTCAGCCCAGAGGGCGGCGATTCTGTCCCTGTGTGCCATGCGGGCCATGTGCAAGAATATGATAGCTCCGAGCGTGCTAATTATTATTATTAAAGCTAAAAAGCGCCCCAAGTTTCCCAAGGTCTAATGATAAAAACACCCCTGAAATAAGCATTCTCAGCTCACTTATGTGAACGTTGTTTCAAGGGCATATCCAAATATGCACACTAGAATATATCAAACATACATTAGAAAGCACTGTGGCTTAAAACGGCTCTAGGTTTCTGATAGCAGCTTTTCCTAATTTGCCAAACATGGCGAGTTAGTCAATAAAACGTATCATGTCATGTCATGTCAATAAAACGCATCATGCCATGTCATGTCAATAGAACGCATCATGTCATGTCATGCATCGTGTCATGTCATGTCAATAGAACGCATCATGTCATGTCATGCATCGTGTCATGTCATGCATCATGTCATGTCATGCCAATAGAACGCATCATGTCATGTCATGCCAATAGAATGCATCATGTCATGTCATGTCAATAAAACGCATCATGTCATGTCATGTCAATAAAACGCATCATGTCATGTCATGTCAATCGAAAGCATCATGTCATGTCATGTCAATCGAAAGCATCATGTCATGTCATGTCAATAGAACGTATCAGTCAGCCTGAATCGGGCTCCAAAAACAGTGCTTTCCTGCTTCATTGATAGCATGCTTGTTAGGCGAGAGTTATCTATAATTGCAAATACCGCTGGACATCAAGCACCTCACCTTGATATGCTGAGCTTTCGCTCAAAAGTTACATATGCGAATCTTTAAATACAATTTTGCTCAGGTGCTGTGCCGACAGAAGATTGTCAAATCTGGCCAATTTCTAGTGTCTTTTAAAGATAGCATAAATTAAGTTCACAGTGATCTTGCCCCCATACTGATGCCTGATACTCGGATTCATTTCTTAGGTGCGAAACAGGGACAGATCAAGGGAGGGGGCACAGAGCCATGCATTCTCTTTTGGGGCGGAAGGAGCCCTTAGGCTCCAAAGGGGCACCGTAGCCGGCCGAACAGACGCATTTTTGCACAAAACGGAACAAAATTGGACGTTTTTTGGCTTCCAGGCGACCAAGAACAATCGCAAGCGAAAGAGAAGGGCCTACAAATAAACAAAAATTATTCTTGACTGAGTGAGTGGCGATTTGAAAGTTTGAAGGCCCATTTTGCAGTCCAGAGATCCTACGCTGTTTCCGGGGCCCTGTATGTCTACTTGCAGGGTCAATCCGGTCGTTAAGGAGCCCTCTACATTGCCCCTGATTTATCTGCATTCGCTCTGAGGGCTCTGTGCCGCTGCTGGGCCGGGGGCTGGGCCCTTCCTGCCAGCGTACCGTGGTACTCTCATCAATCAGGGACGTTCCACTGACTCTTTCCATTTGCCCGAAAGGCCCTATACGCTATACGCATATAACCATACGCGATGCCATGCCGCCATATTTTCGGTTATTTTCGGTTATTTTCGGTATTTTCGCTGGGGCTTTTCACGTTGGCCTTGGTTAACCTACCGACACATTTACGATATGCCCATGGGCCGTCTACATTGGTCTAGGGCCCCTCCAATTCTCTGTCTGTTGCTTAGGGCGCTACGCTCTTTACTACTACTCTACTACTACTCATTAGAGGCCCATCTGTTACCGGCTTAAGTACACCGGGTTGTTCAGGGGGCCCTGCGCATTGGGGTTGGTATTTGAGTGTACGGCCCTACGTTCCTGTCGGGGGTCATCCGGTAGCTTGCTTGAGCACATTTGATCTTTAAGGGGCCCTCCGCACTGAGTTTTGGATGCGTCTTATTTGAATGGAGGGCATCACGCTCGTCTTGGTGGCCTATCTGATAACCTGCTCGGGTACATTCGATCTTTCGGACGGGGGGGGGGGGGGTCTCTACATTGGATCTTGGGTACTTTCTATTTAAATGGAGGACCCTACGCTTTTGTGAGGGCCTCATCTATTAACCCGCTGGGGCCACTCGATCGTTCGGGGTCCCTCTACATTGTGCTGTGAATAAATATTGCTTGAATGGAGGGCTCTACGCTTCTGTCGGAGACCCCACATTTTAACCTGCCCGGGCATACTCGATCGCTCGGGGCCCCTCCACATTGTGTCTTGGGTAGTTCCTATTTTAATGAACAGCCCTACACACTCGTCAGGGCCTCATCTGCTCACTTCCTCGAGGACAGTGGGTTTCTCGGGGGCCCTGCACATTGAATCTTGGTTTTGAAATGTAAGGCCCTACGCTCCCGTCGAGGGCCATCTGACAGCACGCGCGGGCACGCTTGATCTTTCGGGGGCTATCCACACTGGGACCTGGGTACTTCTTACTTGGATAGAGGGCTCTACGCCCTTGTCCGGACATTTTCTCATTACCTGCTCATACACACTCGATTATTGGGGGCTCTCTACATTGGGTCTTGGGTGCTGTCTATTTGAATGGAACCCCACGCTCTTGTCGGGCCCTAGCTGTTAACCTACTCGGACGCACTCGATCGTTTGGGGGGGGGGGGGCTTCCCCATTGTGTCATGGGTATTCATTATTTCATTAGAGGGCCCTACGCTCTTGTCGGGGGCCCCATCTGTTAACCTGCTCGAGCACACCCGATCATTCCTGGGCACTCCATATTGTGTCTTGGGTACTTCTTATTTGAATGGTTGGCCCTATACTCTTCCAGCTAGCTGCATAAAAGTTAGGAATCAAGTTCGTGCTGGGTTTAAATAATATTCAGTGGCGCTTTAGTCTATTTTGCCACCTTTTCCAAAAACTGAGCTTCGAAATGGCGGTATTGACCATGCTCTGGAGAAAACGAATAAGTTCCGTGCATGCGCGCACGGAGCACGCCTATCTTTCTAGAACTGCGCACAGCAAGATGGGCTCCTGTACCAGCATATGGCTACTGATAGCCCATCAGTGGCCATAGCATACGGATGGGCCATCACTATGCTATTTTTATCGCGTAAAAATAGCATACTGATAGGCTTAAAATATAATGGGTGGAATGCGACTCTTTTTTTTGGCAGGGTGAGCTCTGAACTTTAAGGCGGCCTAAAATGCTGCGTACCCCCCCCCCCCCCTTTGACGAAATCCTGGACCCGCCCCTGGTACCAGTTGCAGGAAAGTGAACATCGTCATAAGATGAAAGAGCACAAGTTCAAAATCTAGGTATGATCAGTCTCATGCCCCATTCACAGCCATGCACATTACACATGTTGCTGAGCATGCACCTATGCAAAATTGAGTAGGCCGTATCCAATATTCTTTTAATTTCAAGTGGCGTCAAACTTCGGAGGGCATACAACTTGACCCATTTTTCCCCGAGGAGCCGAAAGCGTCACTATCGGTGGGACAGTGACACGTGACCTGTCTTATGTCTCTAAGTCCAGAGGCTCCGAGTAGCCCTTTGGGCCCGAGGGAGCGACGATCAGGGGTCTGATCGGAGGGTCCAAAGAGCAGGGCGGGGAATTGAAGGGACCTCAGCGAGTAGGCAATACCGAACACTCCGTGCCGCATCAATCTTGGCCTTGGGGCCTCTTTCCAAAGCGGGGCAGGACTGGGTCTGCAAATGTTGATCAGAGAGATCGTGCGCTTGTCTGGTCCCTGTGCTGATCAGGGTCTCACAAATAGGTAAGGGGCCCAATAAGGGGCCCAATAAGGGGCCCGTGCTAGCAATAGGCCAAAGTCGGCCATTGGCGCGTTTGGTGAACAGGGACAGGAGCGAGATCTCGAATGTTAAAAGACTTACTGCGTTGGTCAGGATCGTCTCGACAATGACAGGAGACATGCGAAATGATGCTGCAACGATTTCTACTCACAATGAGACAGTGACCTATGCCAGCCAGAGGCCGCAGGTTCGAACGAAGGCCCCCGCACCGTTTCAGCCAGGAGGCGGGGGGCGATAAGCCTAATTGGTGTCTCGGCGCCATTTAGGCATTGGACTCTCCGTGCCGGCAAGGGGTCTTTTTGCGCTAGCGACATATCTCTGCGTCGATCCTGTGTCAGATGCCCAGATCCGAAGGCCTGCCGCATCAGGGATGGGAACGGTGCATGATGTATCCCCCGGAGGGCCTCCGGATTGACCAGGGCGTCCCGGCCCCTGTATCGCCAGAATTGCAGTTGCTAGTTACCGGGGACCAGGACGAGAGGGCCCTTCAGCTTCTGACCAGGATGATTCATCTACGCCATTTCGAAGTAGATCCTCAGAACGGCATTAGCAGTTACAGCACCGCACCATCGCGTCATGAGTCCGCGGTGCTGAGCATGCTAAACAATATGAAAATAAGTGGGTAGTTGTGTGCGAAATACCTGCGTAGTGCATATTGTTTACTGTGTATGCTACGTATAACGAGATATGTTTCTTTTGAAAGCTTTTGCTATTCTATGTTTCAACTATCTTATGGTTCGAATATAAGAATCGATCAAATCAAATCGAAATGAGCAATTTTTGCTGCTCATTTCGAACTCACTGGTAACAGAAACCACATTAAACAGATTCCATGGACTTCTTAAAGGTCCGAATAGGCCATTGACCTAAAATGACCCAGGCCAACATGTTGTGTTTAGGAACATCCTGCTTAGCGTGTTCTTTGTCGCTTATTCAAATGAAAAACTCAAAGCAGTCTTGTGTGATTTTGGTCACCATGACCTTCAAAAGGTAAAAAAATCACTGATCTTAAATGAGCATGCGACCTTTTAATTCAAACAAATGTCTAGGTCCTGGGGCACTTTAGACGCTAACATGGAGTTCGATCTTGTTTGACCTTATTTGATCCGAAGGTTGCAGCCTAGGAACCTCAAAATTTGACCCAAGTGAGTTCATGTACACACTAACTCACCCTCTCAATTTTGTGTTTCTAGCTCTCTTAGTTTCTGAGATCTCAGAAGGGTCAAATTGGCCCCCACTCGAGCGAAGTGTATACAACCGGCCACCTGGGCGCGCGGATATTCATGGTTCTAATATCTGGAACTCATATTGTTCATGCCTCGCTGGTGTCACATTCCTGATAAGAATGTCAGAAATCTGCGTACTCCTTGAAGACACCCAAAGCATGCAGCACGGTATTTGAAAATTGTCATGTTAACGACACGAATCATATTGCTCATTACAGGGAACTGACCGTATGCTTGTTTTACTTCAAGACAAAATATCGCGTCAAATGTCTACACAATTTAGTAGTTTTGCCGCTTTCTGCTTCTACCAACAACATTTCAATATTCGCGTCGACATGTCACTTGAGTGGCATTACGATTACGAGATCGTCAAGGTGCACAAGCTATTACTTTTGCGTATAACCATTCACTGTCATAGGCGGATGCTGTGGGGGGAGGGAGGGGGGGAAGGACACGGAGCCATGGCCCCCAA